GCTCTCTTCGCGTCGCGGCCGTCGCGCGAGCCGAGCGAACGCGCCGTATATGCGGCACCGAGAAGCGTGCACCCGCGCGCGCAGATATGCGCCCGTCGACCGCACGACGATAGAGAGAGAGCTTTTGGATGGATTTAGAGCGCAGTGAAATATGCCAAGGAGACGGAATGGGGAGATACCGCTTCCGGAAGGGTGGGACGTCGCCCAGGACTTCGACGGGAAGGTGTACTTCATCGATCACAACACGCGGAAGACTACGTGGATCGATCCCCGAGATAGGTACGTAAAACCAAAATTAAATACGAACAGAGAGAGAGAGAAAGAGAAGAAACGCTCTTCTCCCACGAACCATCCTGAAATAAGCGCGACAGGACAATTCCCGGTCGCCGGTCCTCGCGTTAATCTCGCGAATTCTAAACGTTTCTCTTCCCTCCCCCCCCTTCTCTCCGCTACGAAACGTCTTCGGAGAGCGAGAAAGAGAGAGAGAGGGAGAGGGAAGAATCGCGTGCACATCGGCGCGAGTGTGCGTGCGCTCGAGCGTCACGACGATGCCTCTCCCTCCCCTCCCGCGCGCCGGTCCCCTCACGAGACCGCGATCTCGCGAGGATACCGCGATTCAGCGCGCGATTCGGCGGGAATGCGCGTATACGGGGTGTATCGCGCGAGCCGCGCGGCGCTTTCTCCGTGGATTCCGCGGCGGCGTGCGCGGGAGCGATTTTACCACACGGCGAGAGAGAGAGAGAGAGACCCCCGACGTTCCGTTTAACGCTCGGTCTCGCACGTCGATCTGCCGTTCGACGTTACCGTCTCTCTCTCTCTCTCTCGCGCGCCCGCCAAAACGACCCGAGTCGCCGGGGAGACGCGAAAAATCGGCCGATTATTGTTTTAGACCGAGGGGGAAACCGCTGTGGGCATTGCGGTGTACAGATTTGCGGCATTACCGGGCATTACTAGGCATTACCAGACTTTTTTGGGGCATTAGTTTGGACATTAGGCCTCGCTGGGGCATTATAAGGATAAAATAAGATAAAACGAGATAAATAAGATGAAATAAGAGACTTAGATAAAGTAATGCCCGCTGGGCATTGGTGTACGAGACTTTGGTCAGCGGTTTCCTCCCCGTTTTAGACGAGAGAAAAACAACGCACTTGTTGTACCTACGTTAGTGGTTCGACATTGTAACAATGCCACTCTAGGGAACTAGCGAGCCAACCACTGACGTACAGTCTTATTCGTTAATGCCTGGACCTGCATTTTTCTCATCTACTCTGGGGGAAAAAACAAAGACAGCAACCCATTTTGGAGCTCGCAATTAGTAATCGAATTATTTGGATTGTTCGCGACTCTATAAATCTTTCACGAATTTTACCCCGCGTAACTGAAACTCGCAATTAGCTATTCTATCTGTATTCAAGATTTTCAAGTAATACTAATCCATTCTCTCAATTAGTTCTGTCCGATATTCAGTGACGCAAAGATAATTTTCACTTAAGAGGCACTAATCGAAGTGTTAAGTCGCTTAACTACAAAAAAAATTGTACGAGAAGAAGTTAAAGAACGAGGCAGAATGATAGAAAGATGGATAGACAAACGAGACGGAAAATCGTTTCTTCTGTCTCACTTCTTGGACTCACTTGTGCCGCTCCTTTTCCCCTTCCGCGAGTATAGGTTCTATGATAAAGATGCGCTACTTTGGCGTCTCTCGATTCATTTCGCCGGGGCGTCCCGGGAGCTCGATTCGCGGAAGCTCGATTTACGTTTGTTCCGCGGCGCGAGGGAAGAGATTGACGCGCGGATACAGCGTCGCGATTGCCACTCTGTCGGCGCGGAGAAAGTGCGCGACTTCCAAGACATCCTGTATAATATGTGTTCGCGCGCATAGCTCGCGTGCCTCGGGATCGCGCGCGAATCCGGTCGCCCCGTGTGAACGCGCCTTTTCGCGCTCGCGCACCTTCCGCGGGCGAGCGCGAGCTCTCTCGCTCGGCGGATTATGTATTTTTTTTTCTCTTTTCTTTTCGTTCCTCCTCTTCCCAGGGACGAGACGTCGCGAGTAACGTTCCTCTTTTGGCGACGCGATTTTCGCGGGCGGACAACCGGCAGATAGACGCCGCGCGATAACTCGACCTCGTGTGAACGCCGCTGAAGTTGATAAAGTATGCATACGCGCCGAGATACGCGCGCGTGCACGCACGTACACACACACACACACACACACACACGCGGACGTCGCATTCTCGCGGTATCGAGGCCTGCATAGTTGCATATAGTCACGTACGCCGATCGCGAGAGAAATTGATAGCAGGCAGAATCTCCTGATCTGGAGCTCGCGTTTAATCGCCGAATCATCGCACGATGAAATGTAATCCTTTATTTTCTTTTTTGCGCGCGTGTGTGTGCGCGCAAACGCGAGGTGTCGTGCGATCTCTGCGCGTTCGGAGATTCGAAGGCCACCCGATTCGCCGGGCAATCTTCAAAGTGAAAGAATAGAGAAAAACAATGCCCCGTTTACGGCAAAGAGAAATCTTTTGGGATTTTTATAATACATTCTGCGCAGCTGCGCGTACAAAGAGAAGATTAACTGAGAAAACATTCGCTTGTTACGTCGCGCTCGTTGGCTGAAAGCGGCTCGAAAATTTCGTCTCGCCGTCCACGGGACACCATCCTGGGTCCGTTTTCAACAGCCGAGCTCTTCATTCTCGTGGGATAACGAGGGGTATCGGGTGATTGCGCGTTTTATCAGGCGGGCGCGCGCGCGCGGCGGGTATTGCGTGCATGTGTCACTTGAACGATAATGCCCTAGAAAAATGGAATGCACTAAATTAACTGTGGATTAGTGCGGAGCCGCTATCGCCGTACTAAAAAAAAGGAGCGCTCCGTCCTCAGATACTGTTATCAGTCTTTTAACCGACGGAGCCGCATACCGCAGGCGACATTCCTCGTGCGCGAGGAGTTCCCAGGTGGATTTTCCTACTTGGCGGGCGCGCGCGCGCGGGACGCGATCCGCACAGATCCACGGCGTATCGCCACGTAATTCTATCACGTCTCTATGCGATATTCTACATTCGTTGCGAGCCACGCGGTCCCGTTGCGTGCCTATGAAAATCTATGCGCGAACCCGCGGATCGAGCGGCGCGAGCCACGCGAATCTCGGCCTCGCGTGGAGGTTTTTGCAAATCGCGAGACCCTGAGAATTCCTACTTCTTCTTTTTTTTTTTCTTTAATCGCGCCTGCCTTCCTCGGTACAAAGACACGTAACGAACGAACGAGATTGTCCATGCAAATGTAAACCGGATACACAACACCGGGCATGAGGACTTACATAATTCTACTTACTTAATTCTACCGTTGTAATTATTAAATGGCGTGCAACAGTCTCACGGTTTTACTGTTTACACTTTCCAGCGGCCGCCCGAGGAAATATTTTATCTAAATGACCATTTTATCTAAACTCGCGCCGCGAGTTTACCCAAGACGCCGCCTCCTCGTCGTCAAACACAAATTCTCACGCGAGTTTCGCCTTCGTGCTTTCAGATCGATTTAAGGAGACCGAAGCTCGAAATAAATTCGCCTAAAGCCCGTGTCACGCTACGTATCGCGGATTGCGTATTGGATTGAGATCGCCGATGGCAGGTCACATTTCAGTCAGACGAGACAGCCTCGGATCCGATTGGTTGATCGCAATCTCAATCCGATCCGCGATCCGCAATACATAGTGCGATACGGGCTTTAGGCTGGGTCTGGAATGGATTATAAGCCGCAAGAAATTGACCGATCGCACACGATTATTCTCCTCGCATTCGACGGTGATTGGTCAATTTTTTACGGCTTAAAAGCCGAATCAGACTGGCGATTGTCGATGCGGAGTGGATTGGGATTGACGACTGTCTTCTAGCTAATGAGAGCAAAGCCAGCGATTTAATCGACTCTCATTGGCTAGAGGACAATCGTCAATCGCCAATCCCAATCCAATCCGTGTCGGCAATTGCTAGTCTGAGTCGGCCGTTAAGCCCGTATCAGACTACGGATTGAGATCGAGATTAGATTGAGATTTGACCAGTCAGAGTAAAGTTTACTAATCTCAAGTTTAGTGACATTTACTCTAATTAGTCAAATTTCAATCTAATCTCAATCTCAATCCGTAGTCCGATACGAGCTTTAGGCTTACTGCAACCAGAAAAAGTTTCTTCGGATTTTGACCTTGTTATATTTCTATTTAATTTCAAATTTCTAATTAATTTTTTTACCTTAACAAAAATTTTCAGACGCGAATCTCTAAGAGAATTCATAATTAGTTCTGCAAATCTAGAAAATGTCTTAGTAGAAGTGAAAACTTAGTAGATTCAGAGAAACACGATTTCAACGTATCTCATTTGTTTAACCTAAATGAATCTTTTTCTGGGTTTATATGCAGCTATCGTAGACCCGGTCTGGAAACACACGGAAAAGCTTAAGCAGCGAGGCATGCTTAAGTCTTTCCGCGCGTTTCCGGCTTAATTCGCGACGGGCGTATCTGCGCGGGAAAATTCGCGCTCTCGGCCGGCGTCGGCCCGTGTGAGCGCCGCTTAAGTTCGCGGGGCGTCGTATCCGCGCGGGTACGCGCGTATATATCCATACCATGCCATAGCATGCCATGCCATGCCATACACACCGCGCGCAACGCGCCGGGACTCGCCGGGACTCGCCGCGCCCGCATTCCATCCGCCAGGGCCGCGCCGCGCCGCGCCGCGCCGTGCCGTGCCGTGCCGCGCGGCTCGGCGCGGCGGCGCGCGCTCTCTCGCCTCGCTGAAAAACGCGAGAAATCTGGCGATCAGGCTCGGCGTTGGCCTGGCCTCCGGTCTCGTGGCCGCGCGCGCGGAAATCGAGACGCCGCCGCGGCTGCTGCTGCTCGCGCCGCCTCGCGAAGATCGAGCCGAGAGGCGCCTCGCGCGTTTAACCCCCGCGAAAGTTCGACTGATGCCCTTGACGAGTAACTATCGGTTCAATTTACTTTAGACCTTTTTTCTAGGTTTAAAAATTGGGAAAGGATAGCAAGTAATTTAAGAGATTAAAGTGCATCTGCATTGGCAGATACACACAGAAAAATATATACTTACTACCTGCAAGTAAATATTATTTGTTCCAAGTATTTGATAAGTTTATGTATCCAAAAATCTATCATAATGTCGTCGCAAGTGTTATATTTACTCAAAACATATTCTGGTTCTTAGTAAGTCTAGTACTTGAAACAAGAATACATAGAATTATTTGAAGCAAAACAATTTTGTTTCTTCTGATTTTAT